CCTTAACATGGTTACACATGTTCTCTGAAGGTGTTCACCTGCACTGGGTAGTGTGTCTTACTCTTCAGTTATCCTGCAGTCGACAATGCTTCAATCAACGGCTGAGATTTTCCCATATCGGTTCACTCGGCACTATATCTATTACAACTGTTACTAGCCCTTAGTATTGTTAAGTATTGTGAAACCGCCCTTCTCAGCTCGAGCTCATATGAGCTCAAGTGAATAGTAAAGTGCAAATAAATAAATAATTCTGAACTTTTTTGCTAACATTGACAAATGTTTTCAATGCTTGAAAAGTTTCATCATGAAATGGCATTCGTGGACGTCATGGCAAAAACAAATCAGCACTCCAAATATAACTTCCTTGGAGCATCAATTTTTTCTTTTTTGCTACGACTTCAACGAATGTTATTTTGTGATGAAATTTCGCAAGCATGTAAAACATTTGTCAAATGTTGACACAATTTTTTCCAGTTTTCTTATTGTTTTCTCATTTTTTTGATTTTACTGTTCACCGAGCTCATATGAGCTCGGGCTCATTTTATCTACTTCCTAATATAATATAAGTATTATTGCTTCAATATCGCACTATAATCTATCGTGTGTTTTGCGTCAGTATATTTTTCCCATTGCTGGCAAAAGGGCTTAAACACTGGGACAATTACACTCTCTCATACTCGTATCTGTACGTCGGAATTCGGACTGGGTAAACTACGTTTTGTTGTTCCTGCTTTGAGTAGTTCACCATAGCAACTCCAATGCGCCAACCCAAATGGACGGCGGTTTTGTCTACTTTTCGTCCGTTTGGGTCGATCACCCGCTCGGCGTTTGTTCTGTTTTCTTTTCGGGTCGGCTATGCGCCCAACGTAAGAGACTCATTTCATATCCGCCTGCAAATTTAAAAGGCATGCGGGCATAGATCTTGCCAGTGACCATGCCGCCGCTCAAAGTTCATGCCGGCATCATGGGCTAGCATACAAATGCCAGCCATCAAAAAGACCATCACACAGTTCTTACTGGCGCGCTTGCCAACAGCCGGCACACATGGCAGCACACAAAAAAGGTCGGTAGTTCGACCACGCCATCTCGGCCGTGGTCATACCAGCACATTTGCCGGCATACAAAAAAGGATGCGCATGCCGCCATAGACCACTCGTCGTCAAACTTGAGCATGTGGCCTGCATCTTCTCGAACCATGGCCTCTTCCTCAGTGACACGGTGTTGAGGTCCACCTTCATGATCTCCACCCCAGTCATCATGCTAGCCAGAGCCACTTCTTTCGCCTTGGTCTTGACATTGTCGGCCCCGATCTCTAGCATCTTGGCTTGCTTCTCCGCCTCCATCTCAAGCCTCCTCCTTCGAAGCCAGCCGCGGTGGCACCTCCAGCGGTCGCCGCACCACCCTCGAAGATGATGTTCTCCATGAAACGGTTGGCTGGCTTGTCGGCGGTGGCCGTGGGCATACTATCGAACAGGTTGCAGGCATCGGGGAGCACGTCGGCTGGCATCTCCCGCGTGTGTTTCCTGGTACCTCCAGATGATGAGGCACCAACCACCGGCGTGGCGCTGAGGTTGATGGGCGCGGGCACGGGCGCGGAAGGAGCCACCACGCTCACCTCCGATGAGCATTCCCCGAAGAGTCGGGAGGCTTGCGGGCAGATGTGAAAGCCGGTGATCGGGTGCGTCGCTGACGCGCATGGCGACTCCGGCAGCATATTTGAGGGGTGCCCGGTCAGTGCCCGCGGAGGCGCC